TCCCTTAACGGGTCTGGGCAGCTCCCCTCACTGAGGCACCGAGACCTCCTCCTCCTCCTCAGTGTCCAGGGGGTGGGGGTGGGAAGCAGGGGCCCGGGCTGGCAGAGGCCCTGCCCTCTGCGTGTGTCGGGGAGACCCCTGGCACCCTCCACCTCCACAGGGGGCCTCACTTGCGAAGCCGCCGTTTCAAATCCGACGCGAAGCATGGAAAACGGGATTTGCTGTGGATTTCCTCTCTTGGCTGGAAGCAACTGTAAGTGTCCCCAGAGTCGTGCTGGAGAAAGTTAAATAGCATGTGGGAGCAAGAAGGGATACTCTTGGGGGGTGACTCCCGGCCTGCCATCGCAGCGCCTCAAGTAAGTCCTGGCAGGGGCCCTAGGGCAGAGGGCCTGGGGGGCGCTGTCGCACCGCCGGAGCGCCCGGCTCCCATCCAGACCCCCACCCTTTCATCCACACGTCGGGGGCTCATCCAAGGAGATGGCCCTCCCAGCCACGGCTTCCTTCCTCCTTGGCAGAGGTGGGGAGAAGAGTCCTCATCAACCCAAGATCAGAAAGAGAAGTGTCATGTTGCCTGTTGGGATTCCCCTCGGGAGCGTGGGTCAGACTTTGAGGGAGATACGGCAGAAGGGCATCCCCACTTTCAACGGGACCCCGATACCTTCCCGTGCACCCAGCTGTCCACACAGCCGTGCAACTTTCGCAAGCTCCTTGGGGACAGGGAAGGTTGTGTTTGTGACAGAAGGGGGCCTTGCGGTGCGAGTCAGCTCCTGGGTCTTCAGACTTGTCCTCTCGATCTGCCCTTCACGGACCTCCTAAAAGCGCTGTCTGGTCTCTCTTGTACAAACAACACCCGTCAACACAAGGCTGTCGTTCGTAGCAACCGTCCTCTATCCCTTTCTGGTTTAAGCTGAGCTTCTGAGCCCAGCCTTCCATTCCATCCAAACACGGAGGAGGTCACCCCTGGCCCCATGGACGCCAAATCCACTAGACCGCGGGCCCTTCCTGATGCGGTGGCTGTTGGGATTCTGTCTCCGAGTCTGCGTTCCCAGGCCTCCACGTGTGAGGGGCGGACGGGACCCAGTAGTGTTTGCAGCTTCCCCCCTCCCGGGCTTCCGAAGCGGATTCTGTGACCTCACCTCCCTCCTGTCGGCAGACGGTCTAGGTCAGTCCCCGAAATAGTGGGTAACCCCTGCAGGGCGGGCACGGGGGTGTGACTGGCCCACGAGGGGTTCGCCGACGAAGCTTTGGGATCTGGAGGGATCGGGCAAGACGGGGATGGAAATGCTGCCAGGTGCGTGGTGGGTCGGAAGTGGGCACTGTTTGCACCTCTCTGGAAAACCCGAACGCAGGACTGGAGTAATTTTGCACACATGCACTTGACGTCTCTTGGGGTGTGGATAGCGGGCCCCTGGTTTGCAGGAGACACACAGACAAGCATTCCCCGCGGAGTCTCCTCCTTCCCTTCCCTTCATCCTGGGCACCCACAGCAGGCCTGCTGCCCGGCTGTTCACAGCCCCTGATGCCCCTCCCCACACCCCCCACCTTTCCTCTTGGGTCTAACCCTGCCACCTCCACGCCGGCCACCCTGCGTGGCTACCTCTGGCCCGGGACAGGGCCCCCAGGTGCACACCTTTCCCCCCCCCCCCACACCACTCCCTGCTCTTTGCCCCTCACTCATGCTTTGCTCTCCAGATTTTTGACTTGGGGTTGCGTCTGCCCCTGTGATGGGGCAGACACATGGGCGTCGTTCCGTGCTGGGCCCCGTCTGTCCAGTCATCGAGTGCTGAGGACAGGACTTCCTGTCCCTCCTCCAGATGTGTGCGGCCCACTCCTCCTGCCCCTGTAGTCGCTTGAGTTGACGTATCTTTTGTTTTCCTTTGACAATCCACATTTATGACTATTGTTCTGTCATAATTATTAGCAGTGCCCTTTCCAGGAGCACATCCATGCGTGTCCTTGTTTGGAAACAAAATAGGAAGTGACCAGAAAATAACACCCTGAAGAGTGTCTCTGCCTCCAGCCCTTCCCTTCCAAGCAATCCTACACGTGCCTCGAGTGTGAGCTGTTCGAACGGCGGTTAAGCTCCCTGGTTACAAACCCCAGGCTTGTGAATCCCCGTTTACAGCACACCGGGCCTCACTTCTGTACGTCCCCAGCGTGGCGTGGCAAGGTGGGGCTGGCCCGCACCGAATGACCGCACACGGGTTCACTCAAGTTCGCCACCACTGACACCAGCACCAGAACCCCACCGGGATGTCCCTTCCAGGTGGCTGTCCGGCCGCTGACCAAACACTGACGGGAAACGCAGATTTCAACACACACATTGCGTCATTTGTTCGCCCGTGAACTCTGTGGCCAAAGAGCAGTGACGTTCCGGCAGTGGGTGTGCTTGGTATCTGAGGGACGTGGGGTTGAAAGGCGAGATCCCTGCTCTCGAGGCACTCAGAATCTAATGGGAAAGTAAAGGCTGTAATGCAGAATTAGTGCAATTAGTGCAATGACCACCTCGACAGCAAGATGGTCTGAGGGAGGAGAGGCAGCTAGGGAGGCTTGGTGAGGAGCAAACGTTTCCCTGAGCCTCTCCACAATGAGCAGGAGGCCAGGTTTCCACGTGTCCCCAAGGAGCGAGAATTAAACCGTGTCCCTGCCTTGGCGCACACGCACACACACGCACGTGCATACGCTCACACGCACGCACACTCATACACACCCTTGCACGTGCACGCTCATGTGCACACTCACTGGCGCGTGTGCACACATTCATGTGCATATGTAAACATACATGCATCCATACACATGCACACATGCCCGTGTGCGCACACACTCGTGTGCACATACATTCATGTGCACACACATGCACACACACGCACACTCATACACACCCTTGCACATGCACACTCATGTGCACACTCACTGGCACGTGTGCACACATTCATGTGCGTATGTAAACATACACGCATCCATACACATGCACACATGCCCATGTGCACACACTCGTGTGCACATACATGTGCACACACATGCACATACATTCATGTGCACACACACCCACACACATGTATACTCACATCCATATGCACACATGCATGTACATGTACACATGCATACTTACATGCATGCACATACGCACACATGGCCCACATGTACCTATACACATATGTGCTTATACGTGCACATACATATACATACATGTGCTTACACTCACGCAGCCACACCCACATGTATCTGTATACACACATGCTTATACACACATGTACAGACACACATAACCTTACACATGCATCCACTCCTCCCAGGGGTGCTCCTCACCCTCATTTCCAAGGTCATTTGGCTCAGATGACGTCATTAGAGCTGCTTCCTCTGACAGGTCAATGTGACATCGAATCGCACACACCTCCCGGCACTTCTAAACCCGGTCCCCACTCAACCTTCTCTTTTTATTTCCCCAGAAAGTACCTTCTAATGCCCTACAGTAGCCCCCTTACCCACAGCTTCACTCTCCATGGTGTCACTTTCCGCAGTTCTGGTACCTGTGGCCGACCCTGGTCCTCCTTCTGACGTGTTGTCAGAAGGTGAAAAAGAGGGGCTCCTGGGGGGCTCAGTGGGTTGAGCGTCTGACTTTGACTCAGGTCGTGATCTCGTGGTTTGTGAGTTCGAGCCCTGCATCGGGCTCTGTGCTGACAGCTCGGAGCCTGGAGCCTGGAGCCTGCTTCAGATTCTGTGTCTCCCTCTCTCTCTGACCCTCCCCCACTCATGCTCTCTCTCTCTCTCTCTCTCTCTCTCTCATAAATAAACATTAAAAAAATGTTTTAAACAAGGTCAAAAAGAGCCTAATGCTCCATCACAATGTCTGGTCACCCACCTCACTCCCTCTCATCACATGGGTGTCTTATCATCTCACGTCGTCACAAGACCCAGGAGAGAGCGAAACGAAAACGACAAGATATCTTGAGAGAGACCTACACCCATGTAACTTTGATCACAGCACGCTGTTAGAATTGTTTCATTTTCTTACGCGTCATTGTTGTCAGTCTTTTACTGTGTCTATCTCATAAATTAAGCGTCGTCATAGGTATGCATGTAGAGGAGAAAAGACAGCGAATACAGGGTTCGATTCGTCTACAGCTCGGGGCAGCCACTGGGGTCTTGACACATCTCTCCGCGGGTAAGGAGGGGACACCGTATATCATGTCTGTTGCTTCATTGCCTGTCTCCCCTCATGGCTTTGGGTGTGCGGTTCCTTCAGATGAAAACCCAGCACTTTGGAAATGACGGTTTTAACCTACAGTCTTTCCCTTCTGGTTTCGCCTTAGAATTTTGAAGGATTTTCTAAATGTCACCCTGTCACCTCTGTGATAAGAGGAACCAAGAAAATGAGATTTCGAGGGAGCAGCGGGACCTCCCAGAGCATGCGTGGTGGAGTTGGGAGAAAGGTGGAGTTGGGCACGGCTTCAGAACGCAGTCGTCACACCCGGGGTTTTCTTAGCCCTCCAGTGCCTTGTTCGTGCCTTATCGAGAAAGCGTGTGCTGTCCGGCTGTTCCCTCTGCCCTGTCACTCTGACCCTTCTCCACGGTTAGACTGTCCACCACCTACCACGACCTCCTTCCTGATGGACGTGGTGCCACCACGAGGACTCTCGGAAGCATCGAATGCCAGCCCAGCCCTCCAACTTTGTCAAGAATCAGACCAATGTTTGCGGCAGGGATGTGATGAGGGGGGAGCACGTAAAATCTTAATCGTGGGATCCCGGGGCCGCTGGTGGCCTGCCGCCATCTTTAGTAAGAAATTCTGGGGTGAGGAGCCAGTGCCAGCCAAGCAGCTGGGAGGGAGGGATCCAAAGCCCTCAGCTCCCCGTGTGTCAGTCTCCCCTCCATTAGATCGATCCATGCAGAGTTCGATGGTGAAATGTTAAAAGAGAACACACAGGTGTTAAAGAAAAAGAGAGAGAAGCCCCAAAAGAGAGACATGCCGCATGTCAAATTAGAAGTTCTATTCCAGGTCAGGGACAATTTTTGCATTTTTATTATGAATCTCAATAGATACGATAAATTAATGTATTTTTCCAGAGGGTTCCACGGCTGTCATTTGAATTCATAATTGCCCTATGCAGCAAGCAGATCTGAGACCATTAAACACATTATCCTTTGAGGAGACTGACCACAGGGACTCCAAAGTCACAGACTCAGTAAGCAGCCCGACTGCTTTCTCAGTGTCCTGCATCCAGGCTCGGGAGCACAGGTGCTGTGTGGCCAGAGGGCCAGCCCCTGATACACGAGGACTTCGCCGGGAGAAGGAGAAGGGTGGCCAACGAGGTTAAAGGAGAGTATTTGGGGCGTGTAAAACCAGCTCAGCTTCGAGGGAAGGGTGTTAGGGTCCAGAATGACAGCAGTTATGCACCTTTCCAAATTGGCTTTGTGTAGGTAGGCTCTAGCATCTCCAATTATCTTTAGTGAAACGTGGTATCACTTAAATAGCAAATCTAACCAACTAAACAAATTGGGAAAACAGAACAAAACAAGGAAAAATAAAACTCTCCAGGGGAGGCATCCAGTCTTTCTGTTTCCAAGTTGTAGTTGTGCGGGTCTGAAGAGCAGAAAACCCAGTACAAAAGCCTCTGCTGTCTCAGGGTTTAGGGTGACCCCAAGTCCCAGGCGGCCAGAGCGTCGCTGGCCCACACCTGCCATCCTGGCAGACCGGTCACTCGCACACGTGCCACAGGACTGCCTGGAAGACACAGACGCATTTTCTGAAGACTTCTTGTCAAGAGGTGAACCGCTCTTTCATCTGGGCTGGACGCGCCACTTGATTATGCCAAGAGAAAGTGGCAGAAGTGATGCTGTGTGTGCTCCTGATTCTAGGGCTTCTTCTCCCGCTCCCGATGCCCCAGCTGCCATGTCATGAAGTCGTCCAGGCTAGCCCCGGCGAGGTGAGGAAGAAGGAAGACAGACCAGATGGAGGAGGAGGGAGTCCCTGCCATCAACACGCAGAATCTAGTGCAGACACATGCCCGGGGCCACTGTGACTTTCAGCCCAGCTCAGTTCGTCCTCCAGATGAACACAGACTCGTGATCCAACCTAGAAGAAACCATGAGAAATAATAAATTGTTCGAAAACCCTAAAGTTATGCAGTGGTTTGTTGAACAGCAGAAGCTGAGTGAAATAGTGCCCAGTTTGGAAGAAAACTTGTACAGCCTTCTTAGACACAGTACAGCTACAAAATCTTGACCCTATGTGATTCCAAGAGGCCGAGCCTCCTCTCTCCAGTGACCTGTGGTAGACATAAAGTGTGAGTCACGTGCAACCTTCCTCACTGAAACCATCAGGAGCCTGGCTTATCCTGGCCGATACATGGTGCAAACAGATACAGACATTTCCCACTTTGCAGTAGTGACTATTTTCTGAAAATCATGGTTTGTGTGAAAACACTAACCCAAAGTTTCTTTCCCATTATTTTAAATTGAAAAAAAAAATGTTACTCGGTCAAAAACCCCTGGTTGATTTCCTCAAATGAAAGTAAAATACAACAAAACTTCTCTTGATAAGTAACAAGCAAACATACCAGCGTGCAGAATGTTTACTCGGGTCTTCTGCGTCCCCACAGGATGACCGTGGCCGTCAGCTGGCAGGACTCTGTGCGCACTGACACAAAGTCTCACGGCACCAATAGCTTCACGAGGAACAAAGTCTAGGCCCGGTGGAAAGCATCTGTGTGTGATTTGAATGTAGTGGGAGACTTTTCCCAAACACTGAGTTTGGGGTACATAAATATAAAGTTTTCCTCTATAAACATCAGCAGAAAAATACATCAGTAAAGTTTGGGTTGTAATAATCAAGAGGTATCCCATCGAGAATATTAACATGAACCCAGGAGATAATCTGACATCAGTATATCAGATGTCAGATACTTCCTGAGGAAACTCAGAGGTAACAGGAGAGCCCAGCAGGCTACGGCAGCGAGGGAGGCAGGGCCTGGGAGAAAGATGGGTGATGGGGACGGGAGAGGCAATCAGTGCACTTGCTCAGGAAGTTTCTGCTCACTTGTAGCAGGGAAACAGTAAAGAAACAAAAACCACACTTTAAATGATAAAGTATCAAGTTATTGAAATAATGGCATGTCATTTACCAAAAATTTAGAAGGTATGAAAGACGGTAATTTTGAAACCTTGAGGACAAAAGTGAAAGATATGGAAACTTTCTCGTCTTCGACAGCATGAGCGCCTGTCACGTTCCCGAGACTTAAAACAATTATTTGAGCCACAGATTACTTGCAGTGTCCTCACCTTGATTAGCATTTTGGGGGAGTCTGCAGTGACTCTCAAGGCCTTGGACCCCGAACCGTCCAGGCTCTCGGCCAGTGTGATGCCGCTCTCGCTGGCACGGTGCAGCCCGCCAGCACTGGCTGCCGTTCGCAAGGCGAGTCTGGTCCAAGGTCAAACAGAAGAGGTTGCAGAGCCAGGATTGGAGATTTGTCTTCGTGGCTCGGAAACCCACGAGGACTGTGACCCTGGAGCTTAATCGCGTTATCCTCTCTTGGAGGAATTCGCCCCTAGCTTTGGCGTCTCAACATCTTGTCCTCTGATGTGACCTCTTTACGGAAGCCTTTCCTGCCCCACACTCCTCCCACTGCTGACCTTCCACCACCAAAATCACTCCTGGCTGTTTTCCTGGACGATACTACTTGTACCTTTGTTAACACATATTTAAGATAGATATTTTTCCACTAAAGGAATGTGCATACACTACATATTTTTATTTGAAAAGAAAACAAATCACCCGTGAACTTACCACCCCCAAACAGCCAACAGCTGGTCGTGAGAGAAGAAAGATAGATCCTATTGATAACTTTGAAATCATGAGATGTCTAGGCCTTTTAGTGTAGGGGAAAATAGCCTAACACGGTCTCAGGGCCACTAAAAGTATCTCTGTTTTATAAGGTGGAATCATCGATATTTATGACCATCAGTGAATGGTTAAATTACATTTCTCATGCTCTGTAGATGAGAAAGTGTGCTGCCCATTTTAGAGATATTTCAATTCAGAATTCAAAATGTGTGTGTGTGTGTGTGTGTGTGTGTGTGTGTGTGTGTGTGTTTAAGTTTTGCTTCTCAACGTGGTAAACTTCAGTTATCTGCAAAACTAATTTAGTACACGCCTTGCCACCCCTTGATGCTGACAAATGAAGCATTCCCCGAACAGCATTAAGCAATGGGATGAATAGCCATAAAGAAGACATATTTAGACCCTAACCAAGTGTCAGAGTTTCCCTGAAGCTGATTATAATTGTATTTAAAATAAATACAGTGTCGTGAACTGTGACTGGCCACAGTGCTCCAAGCAGAGGATGTGCTCCTGGCTGGCATGGGAGTGGCCTCCCTGCCACATGCATTGGTAGCACACCAGGCTGCACTTGCCCCTTTTCTTAATGATCTAGAGGAAAGAACCAAGATGTCGTTAATGTAAAGCACCGATTTCAAGATTACCCAAGAGGCTACCGTGCTGAAGTGAGGGCTGCTGACATTGGCAGAGGGCTTTCCGTGCTCCGAAGCACATTCTTTGCCTCTTCCTACCTTGCTTCTGTGAGGAGGGAGGAGCAGGTGCCACTGCTGTCCCCATAAACAGTCTCACGCGTGGAGACTCTAACATTTGCCTGAGGCCGACAGCGTGGCTGGAGCTCAGATCTTTGCTCCCCGTGGACTTGGTCCGCTCCACAGAGTGAACACAGAGGTCGAAGATAACCTTTGAGTCCTGTGTGGAGTGAGGTAGGGCAACCAGGGCTGGACGAACCATCGCGAAGTGCCTGGCAAGCAGGCGCTGTCCGAGGTACTGACTCTTGGGCTTCGCATCTCATCGTGCGCTGAGCGAGTGTACCTGTCTCCTGTTCAAGATGGGGAAAGAGGGACCCAGAGAACTTGCCTGTTTTCGAGTAAACCGTGTCACTGTTTAAAAATACAGGCTTCATATATTTTAACTAACTAATGCATGCTGCCATTACCTCTGTTAAAGCCTTTTAGTTTTTTACAGGGAGCAGGCACTACTGGGCGTTGAGACACAGGAGGAAGGCGACACGTCTGGTTACTTCCTTCCTCCCGGGAGTGGGAGGTACAAGCGGGCAACTGAAGAGCAGGGTGTTGGAGAACTCAGAGCAGGCGAGGGGGCAGCAGAGCAGTGCCTGGAGGTCAGGGATGGGACTGGGGACAATTGGCTGTGCTTTCCATGGAGTGTGGATGGGTATGAGCCACAGAGCTGAACGGGTCGCACGGGGAAGCCAACGAGGTTCGAACAGGGACATCGTCGCTCCCACAAGAGATTGAAGATTAGATCCTGGGGGCCCTGGGACGGCCTTGAGGTGATGAGGGACATGTGGAGAGACCACCCCCAGTTTGGGGGAGGACAGTGGCATGAAAGGGAGGAAGCATGGAGACAGAAAAGCCCATATGGACGCTGTCATATCGTTTTGGGCGGCAGTATGTGTGGCTGAAGTCAGATACAGTGGAGGAGACACCTGGACGACTTACCATCACTGCACACCTGGCATCTGGGACAGAGCTGGGTACACAGTAGGTGCCCAATAAGTGTTTGCCAAAGCAGGAAAAGAGATGGTGGTCAAACTTTACTGTGTATCATGCCCCTCTCTGTCTTTTCTTTATTGCTGGAGGTAGGAATGTGCCATCGGTATGGGGATAGCCAGGAAGGCCTGTGGCCTCTGTTCTGCTGTCTTCCTGTGGAGGCTCTCAGCCAGGAGGAGAGGGTGACAGATCCACACAGCGAGAAAGACAGCACAGGCGCTGGACAACAACCGTTTGTGCAGCTGGGGAAAGGAGTATGGGGGCGGCTCCTTGGCCAGGGCCAGCTCGCCAGTGCCGGTGTGTAGTGTGCCTCCACCTTGACTGACCTCCCCCCTGCACCTTCCCTGTCTGGACCCACACCTCCCCCCTGCACCTTCCCCACCTGGACCCACACCTCCCCCCCCCCCCCGCACCTTCCCCACCTGGACCACACCTCCC